GAGCCGGGAGGGGAGTTATTGGTTTTTCTAACCTCCGTAGTTTTTTTTTTTTGTGCATTTTACTTTTCTCGCAGCTAGAAAAAAGCAAGTAGACTTTGCTAATAGAGGTTTCAGCCCGAGGGAATAGAATTTTTTCGATTGTAACAAAGGTTGAAGGCAAAATTTTACACTTTTTCTTACTGATTCCTAGATGTTTGTGCAAAATTAATGTTTTGGGACGCAATTTTCCGCTTTTTGGGAATTCTAACGTGATTATTATTTTGGTCCTGTTGCAGTGGATTAGTGGAAGGCAGTACGGTCCGTAAAGGCGCTATAAGCAGTAGGAGAAAATTAATAAGCTAACGGACAGAAACAACGGCCATTCAGTGAAGGGTAAAGACCAGCACAGGCAGTTCTTGCCCTACAAGGCGACTATGAATAGCCCGTCCGTAGAACGGCGGTCATCAGCAATGCAGTAACCAATAAGTTTGTTAAAAAGAGGAAAGAAAGCTAAAATAAGATTGTAGTGTTGTATATGTACAGAAACCGTATGTCATGTGGAATGGTCATGTGAAGAGATGTATGTAAAAGGAAGCGTGCCTATGTTTCATCCCTAAGCTGTAAACACAGACAGCAGAAGACGTGGTTAGCCAACCAAAAGGTTCAAAATCCCATCCATATCTCAAATTTGGTGGGAGATAAGGGTTTTCGGGGATAATTCGAGGAATAGTGCATCGCCGTTGGCAAAGCTGGCGAAGTTTCGCCCTTCCGGTGACCAACATTTTCGACTCTAGCAGTTTCAGCCTTATCGTGCGGGGACTGTGGGAGACAGTAAAGCTTTGTTATTATTACTATTTTATGCAATTTTTTTGCAGATTATACCAATTTACGGTACAGGTAAAGAAGATGATAATGGAAAGAGAAGGCCCGCAGCACCGGCTCATGTTCGTGAGGTTGGTTCGTTCGTTTTTTTTTGGCGCAAAATTTGGTCAAAAATCTTCATTTTTTTTGAGTTTTCAAGGTTATTTCTATGCTTTCCAGTTTTGGTAAATTTTTGAGTTTTTTAAAATTTTGCATTTTGGCAGAGGATGATGTGATAGTGAAAAAAAAAAAAGTTTAGGAATTGCTGATTCGGGTTATATCTATCAGCTGCCTGTTTTAATGCTTCTTCATCCGTTCACGAGCAATTTTTTTCGCGAAAACGGTGGAAATTTTGAAAAATTTTCTCAAAAAATTTTTTTATATGAATTTTCTAGATTGAAGAAATGTTGGGATTGAACTCAGAGGCGGAACATGACTGGACGAAATTTATTAAAATAGGTGCCGCGGTTTGTGGAGCTGCAATCGCTGGACTCCTGCTTGGCCGTTATACCTCAAAAAAGTAATTTTGTTACTTTTTTTTAAGGATTTTTCATATAATTACAAAAATTTTAAAACAAAAATTCGTTGTAATTTTTTAAGCAAAAGCAAATTTTGAGTTCGTTTTTTTGACAGATATTGCATGAACATGAATTGTATTTTGAATTCATTCATGCTGCCAGAAATTCAGCAAAAATAGCGTTTGAGCCGGGCCTCTTACTTTTTTTTGGTAGGCGGAAAGGGGGACAAATGGAAGTAACAGTACTTTTCTAGTAATACCCATGCTCGTGAAGGCTCCGTTTCGTGGTTTGCCTCAGAGATAAGCTGATGAGGGTTTGTCGAATAGGCTGGACTAGTTACTGATCAGTAGAGGATGGCCTTCCTGACAATCTCGACCAAATGGATCAGACCGGAACATAGGCGGGTCCAGA